ACTGTCTGCATTAATATTTATGATCTCAACATAAAGAATGTGTGAAACTGAAAGTGAAACTGGTGGCTTGACCTGTTATTAATTCAGCTTATATTTATCTCATCACTTGGAAACCCTTATATATGGCTGATCCTTTATTGTCAGAGTTCTTAATATAAAAAAAATATATATTGTTTCAATGTCACACCCAATAATATACCATGTCCAAAAACAGCAGTAGACAAAATTCCACAACTTTCAACAAAAATGCCTGCAATGTCTTTGCAATGTCTATACCAAACTTTGAACCAGGAGCATAAATGTAGTTTTATGCTCTAAGAGTTGAAAGGCCCAAATGAGGGACAGAGCAGATCTAAAAAAAAAATAAAAATGTTTTCTTCTTCTGCTCACGACTTGGCTTACTGTCAAAAGTTCTTTAACAATGATTTCATTTTTTTTCAAGTTTACAGACTTGAGGAAATAGTTTCTGATATTTTCTTGTCTGTTTGGGTGACTCATAGGATTCAGAGAAACTAGGGTTGAAGGGAGGGACATTTACTTTGACACAAAGAAGGAATTCCACAAATCGGCTCTTACATAGCTGAAGTATTTTTATTTTTTACTGGAACAGTCAAGTGCGTGTTCTCTCATACACATGCGTGCCCACATACACACATTACTTATTCAGCCAAAGTGAAACTTTGAAAAACCGTTTGTTCCTGATTGCTTAATTTTTTTTCTCTTTTCTTTTTTTTTGTGAATAGCAGCTAAAAATTCCATAATAAAAGACTTCCCTTTATGACACATTAGGGACCGATTGTTGCTCTAGTTTAAAACAGCAGGCGGTATGTACCCCTCGTAGCCACATTGGACAATATAATTGCGATGATTCATGCAAACCTCAACCAGAGGCATCCAAGATTTTTTACAAGATCTTAAACTACCGTTCAAGCGAAACTTTGCTGGTCTTTGCAAACAGAACTGGTTCGTCTGCATTTAGGATTACCATTAAGTGAGTCTACTTTTGGTAAACCATCTGCCCAACTGGCTTCAAAATAAATTTGTCCCACAAACTGTCATATGAGTTTTTTTCGAGTAAATCAAGCCTTACAAAACCCTGCAGTTTCTGAACCTATCAAATGGCATATATCCCATACTATTTCCATGTTAAAACTTAATAAATAGGTGTATTACTAAAGCATACTGCTACATTTCAAACTTATTTCAATAGTATGTTGGTAGTTGCATACAAATAATGTTTATCTCTTGAGAGGATTAAGCTGTTACTTTATATTCACTGTTACTTGTTATTGTTGCCGATTTTTTTAGACATCTCAGGTCTTGAAAAAGCAATTTCTTTTGTCTAAATCTCTAAAGCTGTTGCACAATGTAATCATGGGGTCATTACCATGTATTCATAGGACTTAATGCAAATATGTTTTAGACTTTATATGGAAAAACAAAAGTGGGTTTATTATTTAAGTGTGTTTTTGGAGCAAATTAGAAATTGTTTTAAATTAGACTGGGGTGTTGCAAATTAAGCTAAATTGTATGTTGCAATTCATTAGATCCACAATAAGTAATGCTTTAAAGAACTGCATAAAATAGACTGTCCTTTTTTGATTAGTTCGGAAACTAACTTTGCATTACTAGATGAAACTAACCATGCTCAATCTTAAACACACAAAGAACGAGGGAATTCCCCTCCCTGTACTTCAGAAGGCTTTTTTATCTCTCACTATTAGCTGCCATGAACTATTATTTGGTTGTCCTTATTTATGTATGTTTACTTAATGTTTAAAATCTTTTGAGACCTTTTCATTACTTTATATAGAGGCTTTTGTTTATGGTTGCAATTGTGCTTTTGATGATATCCTAGGTAGGAAGTAGTGTTAGCTATTCCATTCAAGTCACACACATCAATACAATTGAGGGAATGTGGGCATTTGGTTGTTCAGCATGACTATAGGAAAATCAGCTAACCTTATTCCTTTGAATTGTCTTTTCAAAGCCCAGAAAAGGTACTACTTATTTTTTCATTTACTGGTACAAATTTAGCCTTTTGCTCTGTAATGATCACAGACAGGCTATTAATAACTGCCCCCAAAAGCCTGATATTAATCTGTTCTAAACCATATGCACCTTGTAGTGAACTCTGTTCTGCTTCGTGTGATAAACAATTGATCTTGACAGTATGTTCTGTGAAATAGTATTTGCATTAGAAATGATAAAAGAGAGGAGAAGCCGTCAGATGTTCTGTAAGGCACAAGTCTGTGCATTTGCAAATAAATAATTTTAAATATTTGATTTTTAGGACTAGTTTCTTCAAATTTCTATTCATGTTGTTAATTTGGTGTAATTCTATTTATTTTAGGTGTTTGTATATTTTTTTCTCTATTTCAGACCCCTCTTCATCTGGCGGTGATAACCAAGCAAGCAAACATAGTCGAGGTTTTATTGAGAGCTGGGGCCGACCCTGCAGTCTTGGACCGCCATGGCCAAACAGCACTCCATCTCTGCTGTGAATATCAGCAGCTTGACTGCCTGTCTGTACTGCTGTCTTTGTCGTCGTCCTCCCCATGCCTGGAGATCAGGAATTTTGAAGGTGAGTTATAATATTCACGCTTTTTTGCTATAAAATGCAAAAGCAAATACATGGAAGTTATTGGATTGGATCCTACGTGCTCGTTCCCATTTTCACTTACCAGTGTTGAGTCTGACATAGAGAAAACAATTGTAAATCTTCTTTTATAAAGTAAGCTTGTATGAGCGTTGCAAACAGAAACTTTTTAACAGAGCGTGCACAAGGAGAAATGGGCTCATGCACGCTCTCACCAACGCTTAAAATACGTTCCCTCTCGGGAATTGGTACAGGGTTGTGCATGATAACTTTTTTTTAAAGTGCAGAGGGGGGTCTTATAAAAAAATTAGGAAAATCCTCTACTATACCTTCAACCTGAAACACAGTCATCAATAAACTTTTGTCTTTAGCTCCAGCTGGTATTTTTTCTTTGCAGTTTGCTGAACTCCAAGGCTAATGCTAATATGTTGGCTAATTACTTTTGGTATGGCTGCTTGATAATTAAATGGGGCTCATATCGGAAGAAAATGGTGATTAGTGAATGTATGAGTTATAGCAGCACTTTACCCAGTTCTCCCACTAACAAAAAAAATCACAGAGCAGTACACATTGGTCAGATGGATAGGTATGGCAGAGAACAATATTTTATTTCTTTCAGTGTAAATTTAAGAGTGAAATTGTTTGGGGAAAATCCAGTTAGGTAAGTAAACAAAGTAGTGCACATAATAATATAGTTTTGAATGCTGTGCACAAATATCAGAGTTCGTGCAGTTCTCTCAGGGGGCGTAGTCAACATAAAGGCACACAAAGCAATAACAGAGTGAGATTTGAGTTTAGTCTGGCAATCCAATACCAGGTATTTAAAAACTCTTTGTTTAAATCCCAAAATAATTCTCTGGATTGGATGTGGAAGTTCCTTTTACTATAAGAGGACTTTGTAGGATTATCTGTGTCTCTTTTAAAATAGGGCATAACTTTTGTCTTTTTCTCAGTTCCCACATTTTTCTTTTCTTTTAAGTTGCTGCCACAAAATCCTTTTCAGAGCAACCTCAGAAATCCTTTTTTTCTCCTTTTTACATTGTTGATGTTGCATAAACTATTTTCATAGTTTGTTCTTAATTTGCATTCGTTTTTTGTCGCTATCATAAGATGCACTATATTGTCAAAGTTAGCTCTGCCACAGAGCATAAAGCTCTGTGGCAGAGCTTCGCTCTTCGGGTCAGCTTCTGTTAGAGTCCCTAGGTCAAGACTCAAACAGTGGGGTGATCGTTCTTTTGCCGTCGCTGCTCCCAGACTGTGGAACAAACTAGCCCCTGACATCTGCACCACTACTGACCTCAGCCTTTAAAAAAAAAAAAAAAGCTTAACACCCACTTTTTTAAATTAGCATTTAATTCTGACTACTGTAGGCTAATACTGTCTCTTAGATGTCCTCTTTCTGTGTGCTCCTTTCTATGCACCTCTGGAAGGCTTTTAATGTCCTGCAGCGCTGCACCACTACAGCACTTTTAATTGTATCTGTATGTTTTATATGTGTTATGTATTGTTTTATGGCTTTGTTGTAAAGCACATTGGGTACCATTTGGCTATTGTAAAGGGCTATACAAATACATTTGATTTGATTTGATTTGATTTGAAAGTTAGAGTCACCCTTCGTTAATGTAAATAGGGAACCAACATGTCATCACATTTACATGAGGCTTGTTAATGTATGTGATACTGGGCAAATCTCACCAATGCACTTGTTGTTAAGGTGGTATCCTATAACAGTACCCCGCTAGTTTTTACTAAGCTCCATTTTTTCACAAATGTTTGTAGAATTTTATACACCTGCAGCCACGGGACTGACTAGATTCAGTATAATAGTAGTATAATAGTGGTATACTATTGGTATTATGAGTAAAACCTATGAAATGAATAACCACCCCCTCATAATCGTTCTGTAAGAAAGGTCAATACATTTTCAGGTGGGGGGTGAAGGCATTGAGCTGTGTAGGTGGGATCAGAACACTTCCTGCTTCTTTATGCTATATCTGTCAAGTCTTGGGCTTGAATAATCAGACTTTGCTTGCTCGAGAGTTAGAACTTTAGATACATGGTATCATTTTGTTACAGTGACTGTGGACACATACATGTGTGATTACAATATTACAATTTCTTCCTTACAGGTACTCTGATATATTTTCAAGTTATATTTGAGAAATCCAAATACTGTTATAAATTATATATTTCTACAAGTTCAGAAGTTGCACCAAATACTTCAACCTACGTTTTTGCTTGTCTCTAGGTCTCAGTCCACTTCATTTGGCTGTGCTGCAAGGCCATCATGATTTGACCAAAATGCTGCTGGATGCAGGAGCTGATATCAATGCAATGGTTAGTATGTACTACATAGACTCTGTACTTTTGGTTAAACTGCATTTAAAGGTCATGGTGTCAAGAATCTGTATTTTTAACTTTCTATAATGCTGATGTACTTTTCTTTTTCTTATCAGGACATTAAGAGTGGCCAGAGTCCTCTCATACATGCTGTGGAAAGCAATAATGCAGATATGGTGCACTTCCTTATTGAGGTAATTAAGTTTTGTGGTCACAAATTGAAGATAAAGGTTGTGAAGCACTAGAAGAGTGTCTCAAAAAATCTATCTAAGCCCCTTGACTGATTTTCTGATTTTTTCAGCCTGCAATAAAAGTTTGTAAACTCAAATTTTATTACAAATTTCCTTTGTGATATGTCTGTACCAGCTCTGCAAGTGTACAGAGGTCGTTCCTTTTTGTTTGCAAAATGCAACATTAGTCAGATTGCAATGTCTGTATTTTTTTCAAAGCATTATTTTTTCTTTAAGGGTTTTCACAGATTGGTTGGAGCAGTATAATATTAAACTATGCTTTGTAAAATACATTAAAATAAAATCTTTTTATTTTCCCACAAGGGGCAAACACACACATAGGTTTTCTTCTTGTATTTTTTTCCCATGGATTTTAGCTCTATCTATCTTTACATCTAACTCCAAATGTCTTTCCCAACCCTGCAAAAGAAGGAACATTTCCCACAGCATGCTACTCTCACCACTGTGTTTTGTGACAGAAGTGGTGACTTTAGATTTGCAAGGTTAGAATTCTACATGAAGGCCAGAAAGTTTACATTTGGACTCTTCTAACTAAACATGGTGTCCCCTTTGTGGCTTGTGGTGGACTCCAAATAGAAATATCTCATGGTTACTTTGAATACTGATATTCTTGTCACTCTTTCATAAAGGCCATATTCATGGAGTGCAAAATAACTTTCCGTACAGATTCTTGGACCTGAGTTTTGGATCTCCAGGTCTTCTAGAGATTCCATACCGTTGGCCTGTTTCCTTTATCTAAAATTATTTTACCCTTACCTATTTACTTATGTCCAGTTTTAAACCTAGCCTTGCTTATCCTTCTCTTGTGGGTTCCTCTGTCTTCATTAAGCTTTTTGTTTTCTGATGTTCTCTCAATAATCTCTGAGGTCTTCACAAAAATGCTGTATTTATACTTGATTCAGTTACACACAGGTAGACTTGACTTTCTGAACTAAGATAATTCAATAATTTTTTGTGCTTGATATTATTTTGCTTGTCAGATTAAATGGGGATTGAAAACAAATTAACTCTGTAAACCAGCTTTATGTGTTTATTTGTAACAAAAACCGAAAAACAGGTATATTTTACTTATGTTACAAATGATGTGCAAGGTTGATTTGTCTCATATTTGAGTTTCCAAAAATTCTAATAAAGTAAATTAAACGTTTTGAAAGATTTAAATATTGCCGCAAGACACTGCACATTCAATAAGGCCTGCTTTCTCTTTATACCATATCATTGGTTTGTTGCTTAGGTTCTTTCTGGTATATACATGACGATTTCAAAGAAATAGGGAAAGCATCGGATGATTGCTTATTTCTTGGAGGATACCTGCTATTCTGTGCATAAGAGGAGAAATCTTTCGATTTTGCTTATCTTTCGTTTGAAACTACTTTCTATGCCTTATCTCGTTTTGATAAAAAAAAAAATGAAAACTGCAATGGCCTTACTGTTTTTCTTTTTATCTTCAACTGAAGCTAGTCTGGTTTTCTCTATGAATCACAGTCTCCTGTTTCTCTGCCACAGAATGGATGTGACGTTAACAGCCAGTCCTACAGCGGGAACACAGCCCTCCACATCGCATGTGGCCGAGGTCAGGTGGACACAGTCCGGCTGCTGTTGAAGAGTGGAGCCGACAGCAGCCTAAAGAACTACCACAATGATACACCAGTAATGGTGGCCAAGAATAAAAAAGTGAGAAAATGGCAGCCTTGTTTAACTTTACTTTATGGTTATTTGTTGCTGCTTTTAGGAAAATCTCGTTTCAGGAAAGCAGGAAACCCCCAACAGTTCTCCAATCTTGTAATGTCTCACTATAAATTAAAGATGGAAAATCCCACCTATTCACTTAAGTTACATCAGAACAAAAGCAAACAATTGCAAAACCAGGTTGACTCAGCTTAGATTAGAACCGAAGCTACCAATAGACCAGAGCTCAAACTGGATGGATGTATGTATTCCTCCATCTAGAGGCCAAACATAAATGGTGCAATATTTTCTCTAGCTCTTTAATTCTGTTTCATCAAGCATTTTTACCAGTGGATCGGGCAAACAGTATAATGAAATATAAAATCTGCTACAGATAACAGATGTGTTACGAGGAAGAGGCTCCAAGATCAGATTTCAGGAGCAGCCCTGTGCGTCGATGTCGCCACATCAGAGTTGCTACATGGAAAACGGTAAGGATTTTCTGGACGAGTTAACATACAGTTGTGTGCAGTCAAAAAAATACCACAGTTTCTTATGTACAATCCTTTTTTTTTTTTTTAGGATCCCCTTCTTCAAACCACAGTCGAGGATCTTCACCTCTGATGACGCCACACAGCCTCAATCCCAGTGCTTCCCATTCCCTAAAGACCTCATCTGCACTCTACTAGTTTAGTGCTGAATTTCAAGAGGACCTTGCAACTACCTCCTTACAGCTAAGCCTCAAACTCAGGACTTTGGGAATGGATTTTCCTCATGCACGGAAAGACCAGAAGATATCAGCATTAGACTAAACTGTCAAACTGAACACATCCCAAACGTCACCTCCTCTGACTTTCTATTGCCCGCCAGACTATGCATCTTAAATCATACAGCTGCTGTTTTGGACACCTATCTTGTGAATATGAACACATAAAACTTCTGAGGAATGCAGCCACATAAATAAGGGATTTCCTCCTTTGCAAAGAAGCACAAACAGAAATTAAAAACTGAATGTAAAAAAAAGACTGAATGTGAAAGACTTTTGTGAAAAAACCTACATATATCTCTCTGCATTACATGAAAGAATGCTTCATGTAATCATGTTTTCTGCCACTTTGCCTTTTATGTATGATGCATGTCAGCCCATGGACTGATATGGGGAAATGAGAGGCTTTAAAGGAGAAACATTTATTCAAAGTTTATTTGAAGATTCCAGTATTGCTTTTGTGAATGTTCATTTATTACAGACTGCAAAGAAATAGAAACATACCATATTTAAACAACCTAAAATAGGAAGTGGTACATTGTTTGTTTGTTTTTGTATTACTGTATGGAATTTTCTACCATGTCCAAAGTTACCTGTTTTAGTTTGTACAACAGATTTTATTTTGTCGTAAAACAATTTTCCACCCTGTTGCATTCATGAGTTGTAGACCATTAAGAAATATGCCATGGGCCATGGCATATTTCAGGTAATGAAAATTCAATTGATTATTTCCACTTAATTTATGCATGAAATATAGCAACCTCACATATTTCTTTTATATTGTCATTAGGAATAAAAATTGTCTTTAGGATTTTTTAAACACTTGTTTAAAAACATGTCACTAATGAGCTGATCTTATATATGAAGTCAGGACTACAAAATTACATAAAATATATCTCTTAAATGTATATAGCCCCCATTTTTAGTAAACCATTTAATATTTCTACAAATATAATATTTATAATAGCACTAAATGAAGAAACTGTTATTAATTGACTGCGGCAATGTATGCATGCGCATGTTGATTTTTTTTTAATTCTCAGTTGCACATTCGTTTGAGTCTGAGCATGATATTTTTAATAGCTGCAAACTTTCTTTTCATATGCTGTAAATGACCAGTTTCATATCATGACTTTTTTTTTGTATTATTTTTTATACTTGTGTGAATCTGGTATGTCAGTTTGCTTCTGTTACGCTTGAATTTCCCTGCTGAGGGACAATAAAGGATATTTTTGTTCTTTTCAAGCATGATGTCCAAAATAAGGAACACAAATATAAAGCTTTCACACTGAAGCTGTGGATTTTTTGATTTCCAAATAACAGTATTTTGTTTTATTTTCCCCTTGGTATCTGTTAGGTGGAAAATCCTCAGCTTCCTCTGCATGTTCAGCTCCACCTTCTCTACGTCTACCCTATCTTAGTCCTCTTTTCGGAGAGACATTCAGTGCCCTTTTAACAGCTTCATCCTTTTCAAAGTAGAAACTGGCTCTTTTTCTCTACCTTCATGGCTTTTATTTTGCATGTACTGCACTATAATTTAACAAATTAAAAATAAAATAAGTCAAATAATTTAATTTAAATGCAAATCAAATCTGCTTTACCAAAGAAAAAAAACTGTCCAAAGGGTTTTAACAACACAAATATAAACTTTGGCTGAAGAGGCAAAAACCATGTACAATGAATCCAGAGCGCTTTGTGCTACATTCAGTCATTCACTCATTCATAAATACATTCACACACTGATGGTGGCGAGCAAGATTGTAGCCACAGCTGCTCTGGAGCACTCTTAGAGAAGCAAGGCTGCCTCCTACAGGCCCCACTGGGCCGACTGGCCACCATCAGTAGGCAAAGCTAGTGCGTTGCCTTGCCCAAGGACACAACAACTGAGATGGATGGAGCCAGGGTTCATCCTGGCAACCCTCCAGTACAGAACAAGCTCCTGCATCATATGCCACTGTTGCACTACATTATGACTGCCATAGCTGGCTTCATCACAGACAGTGGACTAAGAAACAGCCAGCAGAACCAACTCCTGATTAACGAAGGGGAAACCAAGGAGCTGGTGGTGGACATTTGCAGGTGCAGATCCAACCATTAACAGCGGTGAACATCCAGGGAGCGGACATTGAGATAGTAGACTCTTAAAGGGAGCACTCCTGAAGACCTTCCTTGACTCTGTTGTTACATCATCTATCTTCCATGAAGTAGTCTTGGAGCAGTGGCTTATTTGTGGCTGAGAGGAATCCTTTGGATAGGCTCATTGGTAAGACCTGCTCTGTGATTGGATGCCCTCTGGACTCAATGTAGGTGATTGGAAACAAAAAGACTCTTAATTAAATTAACATCTCTGTTGGATAATGTCTACCACCCAAAGCATGAAGCTGTTTCTGAACTGGAGAGGTCCTTCAGTGGCAGACTGCTGCACCTTAAATGCTCAAAGGAGCGTTATCGCAGATTCTCCTCACACCACCTGTAAGACTTTACAACCATCACTGCTCCCAACAAGCTTAAAAGGTGGTAGATTTAAGATTATTTTTTGCAGAGCCAATTCTCAGTACCTTTAAATAACAAGCTGTTGGCATTTTGCACATCTTTAATGTTGCTGCTAATTCTATAATTACTTAGTTTATTGGTTATTTATCCTTCTTTTACTGACTACACTTTATTTATATTCAAAACATCTTTCTGTTCTTACTGGTTTTCTAAATTTATCCAGATGTTTTAATGTACTTAAACTAACAGGCCAGTAGATGGCAGCACACAGTGACACAGGGGTCCAAAAAGGGACTTATTTTATGGTTTGCCATCATCATCTAGATACAGAACCTGCAGGTAGATGCTGTGAATATAAGGCTAAAGCTTTACTTAAGGTTTAAGTTTAAGTACAACAAATTAAGTTTAGATACAACAAATAATAGAACATTTTATTGTTTTACAGATAAGAGGTATATTTACATTGAACTCCTCTTTGTTCTATCTTATTTGATCTGTAGGGTGAACTTAAATCATACACAATTAGAAGGGAAGCAATGTTAAATACATCCCTCAGTATGATCAGCGATTCCTTTTCAAGTATTTACTACATTTGCTTTTGTCTTTAAGCAGAACAAATAAGCGGTACATTGTAAATTGATTGACATCTCTTTCCTAAAGCAGATTACCTGTAGTTTTACACGACTTAAACTCACAGCAGTACAGTCAGGTTAGATTTGGATAAGGCAGATAAACACAGAGTACCAGCTGTCTTCACAGCAGGTTTGTAAAAGGATTTACTCATTCAGAAAATCTTCTTGTCTTTTCTTAATGTTGTCTTTTTTCTAGGCCAATGGCAACAGGCCATCACAGTGTAATCAAACAATTACCACAGTTGAATATATTTTCATTCTGATGAAATATACTGTGTGTATTTAACCGATTTTATGTCTGTTTATATGTTAAACACTTTCTCACCCACTTGTTGTGTTTAACTTGCTTTATTATACATATGTGGTGTTATTGTTTATGTTTTGACAAAAACAATGCATTAATACCATTAACAGATATGGATCTGCATGGAGCGTCATTACTACTGTATGAGTGATATGACGACGGTCCCCATAATGTTTTTTTTTTTCTAAAATCTTACTTTATTTAAAAAATACTTATTTAAGTATCAGAAATTTAAAATAAAACTTTCCTTGTATTCAAGCAACTAACATGTTGTTCATCCAATCAATTTTTATATCAGTGTAGCCGGTCACCAGAGGCCTGCATCTAATTGCTGCAAGACATCGCTGCTAAAGTTTTTCCTTGCTGTGCAGCTCAACTTAATTTTTTCTCATGGCAATATAAAATATAGTGAAGTCCATGTCCTTTTATTCAAATGATGTCTCCTATTTAAGCAGCAGAATTAATTCTGCTCTAGAAATGTATATTTCCTTTACAAACAAATATGCTTGTCCAGTAGTATCTGTTCAGTCTCTTTTTGAATACGGTAACTGGCTATTGTACTGGTTGAAGAATTGCTGGTTGCTCATATTATTTTTTATCACTACAACATAAACAGTGTATGTCAATGTAGGTACTTCTTTTTGGTCTTGAATAAAAAAATGTAACATGTTATATCTACTGTTGGATTCAAATATAATTAAAAAAATCCTTGTCAGTCCATGTGTGTGTGTTCTTTGCAACTGTTAATACTACATCCTATGATCCAAGGGAAGATTATCAAAATATACTGAAATGCTGCTTGGAAAAGGTGCAATCAGAAGTTAATATACCACAGCAGCCATAAAAGCAAAGCTGAGCTCATTAGTAACCGCTTGAAGGCTGACCATAAAGAACACTGACATTAAGAAGTTTTTGGGTTTTTTTTGTTCTGTTAAGTTTAATCAAAGATCATGAGCAGAAGAACTGCTCTTTGATGCAGGTCAGATCTAAACTGTGATTGGCTGTGAATGGAAATACTTGCATTTTCACTCAGCCAGCTTTTAATTCTTAACTCTAGAGTTAGAAATAAACTTACATATTTTTATATTTATAAATACACAATGAAATTATTATGTTTTTATAACACCAGTCCTCCCTTGTCCAACTCTTGTTCTTCATTATTGCTTCTCCTTGGTGATGCGCCTGTATTTATTACTTATGTTTAGATGGGGGAGCACCTTTTTTGTTTCCCCCATCATTGAGTCCAGTTTTACCTCCTCCATTACAAATGGTACAATGCTGCCAACACCAGAGACAAGAGCAAGATGTAGAATGTTCTCTGCCTAGAACATAATTAACTACAATCATTCTTCTCTTCAGAAATTGTACATCTCCAGGATATAGAGGCAAGCAGAAGAGATTTTATCTGTTTTAGGCTCTAACCTTTGGCACGAGGCTATGAATTATCAGGACGAAAATCTCTCACTGTGAGGGTTCCTGTGTGTGGGTTAATGTGAGTTGTGCATCTCTACTATAGAGGATCTTTGTGGAGAACTTGTGTAGCCTACACAGGTGTACAAAATCTTTATAATCATAGTGCTGGGCTTAAAAGAGCACCAGAGCCTTCATTCAGTGCTGGTTTCTGTGTATTGAAGATGTTAGTTGCTCACTAGTTTTTTTCTTTGCTTCCCTCGAGTATTTTTCCTGACATTTATTGGTTTTGTTTGGTTTTCAGTATTTTTGGATTTTGGATTTTTGCCTCTGTTTCCCTTAGGCTTACATTAAACCATCCAAACTCATCCATGCATACTCCTCTCTGCATTTGGGTCCTCAAAACCTCCACCAAACCTGACATTCACATAAAAAACATTTTTTTCCTGTCTGCAGCTAGCCTCGTTAACAAAACCCAGGATCCCTACTAAAACATTCTTAGATTTCATGTTACTGCATACTATTTTCTCTAATCTCACACTCATATAAAACATGCATATCTTTATTCCACATTATATTAAATCAACAGAATGCTTTTCTACGTGTAGCACCTAAAGCCAATGTTTAAAACCCTTGGCAAGCTTTTTCTGATTTAAGAACCTAAGAAGAGAATTAAAATGATTAACGAACATGTTGGCCTTAATTCACTGTTTTATTTGTTGTTTTTTTATTTTTTTATTTATAACTTCTGCTAGTTGGGTAGAATAGAAAAATCCTATTTCATAATGTACATTCTTTTTTCCTTTTTTTTTTTTTTTGCTAAAGTTTGATAACCAGCA